GATGAGCTGAGTGTCCTCCTGACAGCGACGAGCATCTGCTGCTCCACTATCCATAGCCGTCTGAGTGTCTCGGTCTCCTCAGCTTTTGCACTGTTCCCACATGCAGGGTGTTCTTGGTCAGGAATGGTCTTCAGTGGTGGCTGATGAACACGGTCATGCATTTAAGATGGAATATGAGCATCAGTGAGCATCACTGAAAAAATTCTCCTGTATGCTTCCTTTACTAAACAACATCCCTCGGGGCTTTTAGTCCACATTTGCTCAGTTAGAGAATGCTTATGGAGTATAATGCGTTTACTTCATTTCTTTGGAGAGAAGTATTTTTTTCTGTTTTTACTCATAAGCAATGTGAGCATTATGGAGCACTAAACACTCTCCTGTAACGTCGGTTTCATTTATACTGGTAGCGCCTCGCGCAGAAAGTCCACAAGTGAGGTTTGTAGAAATCATAAATCATATTACGTTCATATGATGGACAGGGGCATCCAGCGCTCACGGTACTTATGAATGGGAGAAACTGCAACACACAATATGGCAGAATAGTCCCGCCTTCTGAGTAAAAGAGCCAATCACTGATTGGTAAAGTCAAATATCAAATATGAAGTTTAATCGTAAGTGTGCTGAACAGAATTTGATGTTCCCCATTCAAAGACACAGGAGCGCTTGTGTGACTCAAATAGCCGCCCGAGAGGCGTTTCAAAGATGGCCGCCGAGTGAAACGACTTGCCTTTGGTAACATGCACATAGAAACGTTTCGGCTGATGAAACATGAAGACAATACACACAATTAACACGAAATCCAAACACGATTACAACAATACTGTATATGGTTAATCTGTGTTCAAGCCATCTTGTGCAGTTTCGTAAGAATAAGCTATTTTGTGTTTTGTCTCATTCTATGATAATTAGTCACATCGGGTCTCTGAGGTTATTTTAAGCACTCGACTGATGTGCTGTCGTTTAATTTTGGAGCAAAAAATTGTCATGTTTTGATGCCGTGTTAAGCTAATGCTTGCTAGCCCTTATGCACCTGTTGTCAGAACATTGTTGTAAGACTAGTTTTTAAAAGCAAATCCACATAAGATCATTGGAATGTTTCATTGTATGAAAAGTCTTTCTTAAAAAAAACAAAAAAAAACAAAGGCCAAGAAGGTGAATAAGTTTGGTCCAAGATATTCGGTTTAAAAACGTTCTCTCCCACAGTCATCAACATGCACGCCATACTGCCGTCACATCACCCAGAAATCACATGAAATGATCACATAAAGCTTTAGCGGGACAAAGATTCATTTTGGTGGCTGACAAAATATTTCCAATGCAGGAAACCCCTGTTTAGGTCAAAGTTCATGAGTTCCACAGCAGACAGAAGCACAGCGCGTCTAGACGTTTGCTAAATGGAAATTTAACGAGAGCCAAGTCTGATTAATAACTCTTCACTCCCATCCATCAAACTAGCCAACGTCTCATCATATGGTACAAGAGTTTTATCACGGGGAAAGTTTTTGTTTGTTTTTTTAGGTGAGAGATACTGTACAAGTTGTAAAAAACCCATTAAAGAACAAATTCTCATTGTTGTATAGTTTTGTTTAGCACCTTTTAAAACTCCTGTCTGAGATTCTGCGTTCTGATGGGATTCATGCACATTTATAGTTAGTTGGTTAAAGTGAAAATGAAAATCTGTCATTTACTCCCCGTCATGGCATTTCAAACCCATCTGATTTCAACAAGGATATTCTGCAAACTAACTCCTAAAACTCATGGTCCACCTGAGAAATAATGGCATACGACATGAAGAGTAGATGATGACAAGCTTTTCACTTTTTGGAGAAGTGTTCATGAATTAAAAAATCTAGTTTAAATGTGCCAAGTTCTTACAGTACTTTTTTGTGTACTTTCTTTTGAGTCGTTTTTCAGCTAAAGTCAGTTCATTGATGATTCAGTGATGTCGTCATCATCCAGTTCAGCTCTCTTCCAATAGTGTCTGTGCAATCAGTCAAGCATCCCCAACTAAGCAAGCCGAAGGCAACAGTGGCAAGGAACCGAAACTCCATCGGTGACAGAAATGGAGTGATCTACCATCTGGTCTGGATACGGACTGGATCCGTATGGCTACGGTGACCTCGGAATAAGAGAGAAACAGACTAATATTAGCGTAGATGCCATTCTTCTAACGATGTAGCAAGTACATCGGGTGTTATGAGAAGTGTTCCCAGATCCGGTTGTCCTAATTAATGCAACCTAAAAATCCTTTAACGGATTTGAATTATAGAAATGTGTTAGTGTGTTATGTGTAAGCCAGGTTAAAGAGATGGGTCTTTAATCTACATTTAAACTGACAGAGTGTGTCTGCCTCCCGGACAACGCTAGGTAGATTGTTCCAGAGTTTGGGCGCTAAATAGGAAAAGGATCTGCCGCCCACAGCTGATTTTGATATTCTAGGTATTATCAAATGGCCAGAGTTTTGAGATCGCAGCGGACGTGAAGGACTGTAATGCAATATGAGCTCGATCAAGTACTGAGGAGCTAAAACCATTCAGGGCTTTATAAGTAATTAGCAAGATTTTAAAATGTATTCGTTGTTCAATAGGGAGCCAGTGCAAAAAAAAGTCTAAAGTATAAATTTAACAAAAAAAAAGGTTTTTAAATATATTGTAAAAAAAAAACAATTATTAATATAATTATTAATTCATAAATTAAGAGACTTATTGACCTTGACTTGGTTTTTTTCTGCATGGTTGTTAGATTTGGCAAACAAAAGTTTAAATATGAACAAGCAATGAAGCATATTTATTTCTTAGAAATAATGATAATGTGTTCTGTTAGTAAGTATTTTTTTCTTCAGTGCAATATCGCTGTACTTTATGCCACCAAAAAAATTAAATAAATAAATTATCATTCAGAAATTGAAAACGTTTATCATAGTAGAGGTGTAATTACGTCATTGTTTGTATGAAATAGATTTTTGTGGAATTTTATAAATGAATAGATCCAGATGCATAAATGAGCATCATGTCATTAACCCTTGTATAGAATTTTCAATTTGCAGGTCAATTCTTTGGAGAAATCTAGTGATGGTTGTTCATTTGCGTGTCTGGCGTGTGGTACACACTTTAAGACTGATTCACCGGGGGAATATTATGACAGGCAGCAGAAACAGAAAGTGCGTGCGTGCGTGCGTGCGTGCGTGCGTGCGTGCGGATTCACCGGGGGAATATTATGACAGGCAGCAGAAACAGAAAGTGCGTGCGTGCGTGCGTGCGTGCGTGCGTGCGTGCGTGCGTGCGTGCGTGCGTGCGTGCGTGCGTGCGTGCGTGCGTGCGTGCGTGCGTGCGTGCGTGCGTGCGTGCGTGCGTGCGTGCGTGCGTGCGTGCGTGCGTGCGTGCGTGCGTGCGTGCGTGCGTGCGTGCGTGCGTGCGTGCGTGCGTGCGTGCGTGCGTGCGTGCGTGTGTGTGTGTGTGTGTGTGTGCGCGTGTGTGTGTGCGCATGTGTTTGTCTCCATAGGCCAGTGCTGTGCCTTCACTAAACTGTCCTCCCCCAGATGCTATTTATAGTAAGAGTCCACCTCAGAGACATCGGCAAAGAAAAAATGCATCTATGATTAAACTGAGCCTTTCTCTGTCTCACGCTCTTATACACAGTGTTCTTTGCTTCCCCTCTTTTAGCATTTTCTCTTGCTATTTATATTGCTTTTCTTGTTCTTCAAATGGTATTTCTTTCCCTTACCTCAGACCCGGTGTGTGTTTCTCTGTCTAAGAGCAGCTACATTCACCTACAAACACCTGAGTTTCTGTCCTGCGGTTTGGACGTCTGTGGAATATTTTTTTTATGGTAACAGCAAGGCATTCCTTCAAATACTTTGGAGTACTATTGAAATACCACAGTATGTAAATAAAGCGTTTAAACGGTACAATGGTATACTGAAACACCATAGATACATCACTGTACTGTATCAGTAGCAAGGTTATTACAGTGAACTAAAACCAAAAAATCACTTCAAATATATAAATTAAAATAAACATTAACTGAAATAAAATTTAAAAAAATTAAATTTTTATTTCAGCTACCTGTCAAGGAAACATTTCTTATTTAGCTTGTTGTAAAAGTTTTTTTCTCTTTTTCCCTCCCTTCATACTTTTTAAACATGCATGTTTCTGAGGGGATTTATCTCTGTCTTTTTCCATTTTCAACTCTTTCTGTGACTTTTTCACATTACAGTAATTAGTAGGTGTGTAGCAATTCACTTATATGCAATGAAATATCGACTTGTGAATCGAATCTTTTTTTAAATGCAAACAAATCATGATTCATCCAATTTGCTCGAACCAATTATATTTGGACCTGTTTGATTCAGACATCCGGTCACATCTATTGCCACGAAAGTCCATCAGGATAATCATCCCAAAATATGCTCCGTTTTCATAATGCAAATATAATGATTGTAAGGTGAAATATGACCCGACCATTTCTGGCTGCCGTTCTCCCAGATTGTTAACCGTCCCTCATTATGTTTTACTTTTCCACCTGTCTTTTCTCCAGAGCATTCAACTGTTACATTCCTGGTTTTACAATTCCACCTCGTTCCCATCCTCCCTTCTGTTCTGACACGTCCTTGTGTAGTTGTGCCAACCGCCGGAACTAGTTTAATCCTCACTGTTGCACTACTAGTTTCAGAGCCCCGAGCCATACAACTGTGTGCTGATTGACGTGTGAACCTTGGACTCTTTCCTGCTCCGGTTAGACATTCAGCTGAGGGTTTGTGCGCTTTATGATTTAGAATGTTTGTGAATCCACGCTTTTACGATGTTCTTCAAATATTCATAAATAAAACGTGATGCTTTCCAGATGATGCACTCTTGAGTGTTCTGGATGTGGACTCTGTATGCACTAACCACCTGTTGCTCCTGATGGGCTTTGTCTGTAATGTTACTTTTAACGTTATGGAAACAAACCGTACATGTGACCGCTCTGCCGTGTTTAATGTGTCTTTCTTCTCTCTGCAGCTCTTATATTCCTCTTTTATCTGGTCTTCTATGGCTTCCTGGCGGGAATGTTCAGTCTCACCATGTGGGTGATGCTGCAGACGCTGGATGAGCACACTCCCACATACAGGGACCGAGTGGCCAATCCAGGTGAAAATCCCACAGCATTAAGACATTATTCTTTGTTAAACCTCTTTGGAACAATATGTACTATGAAAAGCGCTAAACAAATAAACTGAAGTGGAAAAACTACAATTTAACACCGCAATACGTTTTTCAAACAGTAGTGTGCTGCATTGGCCTTGGCATGTTTAAATTAGACATTGTTTGTCAAGTCATGTAGATGTTTCATATATACAGAAAACCCACATACTGCACATATATTATAAAGTGGAGGCGAAGAAGCAGTATTATAGCACGCTATGGAAACCTGTTTCTGCCACGGGATGCAAAAACAATTTTTTTTTTTTCCTCACAATTCCATTTGTATGTCTTACAGTTCTGTTTTGTTTTGTTTTTTTTTCAGCACAATTGCGAGATATAAACTCGGAATTGCGATATAAACATTTGCGAGATATGAACAGAATTGCCATGTAAACACAGAATTGCCATGTAAACATAGAATTGCAAGATATAAACAGAATTGTGAGAGATAAACTCAGAATTGTGAGATATAAACTCGCAAGTGTGAGAAAAAATTAATTGTGAGATAAAAATAGTATGCCATGGAAGACTTGTTTCCGCCACAGGACGCAAAAATAAAAAAGTCCGTAGGTGAAAATAAAAAAATCAAACCGTAGGTGACAATGCACACGATTTATCTACTTGTACACACACCTGCGTCTAATCTGTTAAAGCAAAACTGTCTATTGTCACAGCAAGCCTCACATTAGTGTTCATTTCGTTAACGGAGTCTATGACGAAAAATGTTCGTCAACGGAGTTTTTTCCCCTGACGAAAATGAGATGAGGTCATTAAACGATAACTGAGACAATATCAACATTAAATATTGTTGACGAAAAAAGACTAGACTAAAATGTAGTTAAAAGAACAAAAACTTTACCAAAACCTTTTTATTTTTGTTGAAAAAAGTGGAGCCAAAACATTTCAGACTGCTGTACAAGACTCTATTACGAGAGTGTTCATGTTTGCGGTTGCCAGATATCAAGAGCTCAAATCCTCCGATAGTGGTTGCGGATTGTAACGTTACTTATGCAACCTCTGTGCAGCAAGTCATTTTGCCATTGTTTTAAAAGAGAAACCATTAATGCTATTTGGAATTATTGGAATTGCTTTTAGGAATTTCTTTGTTATAATATTTGAGAGTAGGTTTTTGTTACACCAGTTTCATAACGTAGACCGTCTTTGGAGTATATTTAGCCTCTAATTGATATCCTGTTATAAATCTGTACACTAGATGAGGTCAAATAAACCATGCATACGAGTCGATATTCTATTGATTTGTGCTTATTGGTGAAATAGCAACTTCTGCTGAAATGTAAAAATAAATTTCCCAAATGACAACAATCGTTGCAATTAAAATTGAGCAAAATAATATTTTTTTTATAATTTTAACCATTATACAGTAAGGCGGAAATATGACGAAAATGTCTAAGTTTCCACTGACTAAAACTAGACTAAAATGCTCAGACATTTAGTCGGCTAAAACAGGACAAGTTGACTAAATATGATAAAAACTAAAAGTTACATTTGACACAAGACTAAGACCGAGACTAAATTAAAAATAGCTGACAAAATGAACACTACCTCACACGTGAAACGGTTACTCCATATTTGCTAATTTTGCAATGCATATCTCTGTGAAACCACTATGTTTGTTCAAAGAATTCCTCACTGACTGGCGTATTCAGACTCTCCTTTTGTTCTCTTTGCCTCTATGGTTTCTTTTTATGCTTACACATGAATGTAAGACTTTTTAGTGAAGGAAAACTCAGGCATTTTATGGGAATATTGTAGGTGGTTTACTGAACCAAGATGTGCTGTTATAAATATACACATCTCTCTGTGAATGTGTGTACATATAAATCTATGTTATTTATAGTGTAGGCTATTTATAGGTGATTTATAAGTGATGTGGTGATCATACTTGAAATGTTTGTGAATGGATTCTCAATGTATTAAATTCAGTCTTCGTGTTCGTAAATTCAAGTACAGTTTTAAACTATTTCAAATGAAAATATTTGAAATAATATTTAAATGATTTAAAATAAAATATGTCTGACCACATGGTGTACAGAGAGAATCAGATCAGTACCTGCCTTTAAGATTTATTGATCTGGTTGTGTAGTTACTGGTTCTAAAATTATTTTTAGGATTTATAAATCCTATATGAACACAATTTTTGATTTGTGTGAATAACATTGAGAGTAACAGGACTGATAGAATGTGCGGTAGTGGTGTCTTGTAGCTGATGTGATTTATTCGCCACTATTTTTACGGTTACCTCCATTGCAATCAGAACACACAGCAGCAGTCTCAGCAGTGTTACACATCATCCATTAGCCTCACACACATATACAGTGGTACACACTGCAGCCCACACACTTGTGTACAGTGGTTGAGATGAGTGCTCCAATTCCTTTTCCTCTTGCTCGATTATGAGTGCCGTTAAACCCGGCGAAGTGAGACACAGCTCACAGGTCTCTCTCTCTCTCTCTCTCTCTCTCTCTCTCTCGCGCGCGCTATCATTCATCCTTCCCTAAGTGTCAATTTATTCCTCCCACTGATCTTTTTTCTTTCCACCCTCAGCTCCCCCCCTTCCTCGACATCTTTTAGTAACAGAATGTTCTCAGTACAGACACAGTTGGACATCATTTCAGACAAGTTGAAGTTTAGTGTGTCCAATTATCAGTGCCCTGACTGTTCCAAGCTAGATTTTGAGGCGTTAATGAGCACACATCAATGATTACGACCAAAAGGTGTTCTGATACAATTATAAAACATGCACAATGAGCATGAGTACAGGAGCCTTTGAAATAGTGCATCATTTTGAAAACATCTAATTCTACATATATAAATGATCATTGGTAACACTTTATTTTAAGGACCAATTCTCACTATGAATTAACATACATATTACTAGCATACTGACTGTTTATTAGTACTTATGAAGCACATATCAATGCCTTATTCTGCATGACCATATTTTAGATCCCTTAATCCGACACCATACCAAACCTTAACAACTACCTAACTAACTATTAATAAGCAGCAGATTAGGAGTTTAAATTAGGACTTTAAAATAAAGTATGACCCATTAAATGTCTGAAATTCCCACATGGAAAATCTGGAAATATAAAGAAATTTTTGATTGACATTTCAAGGAGTAGTTTTGCAATTGATGCAAAATTCCCTTTTGAAGTTTCTTATAGTAAATATAAATTTTTGTAGTTATGCTTAGCTCTTAAAAAGCTAGAAATTGGCTGTAACTAAGGAAAATTATTTTTTACAAGTCCTTGTCTGGCCATAATGAAAGACTGGAAAAGTCATGAAGGTGAAAAGGGAAGAGATTCTGTTTTGAAGGAATCTTGCATGGGTAATTTTGAAGTATTGTAAATAGAGAAACTTTATAAAAATGACATAAAATGCACACATTAACATGTATGTGCTGTAACCTGCATCAATATCATGTATATTTGCATGGCATATTTTGTCCACAGGGCTGATGATCAGGCCGAAGTCCTTGGAAATTAAATTTAACCGATCGATTCCCCAGCAATACATCAAGTATGTGCAGCACCTGGAGTCGTTCCTGCAGCGTGAGTCTCATCACTGATTAAAATGCCTTACTCTCTCTCTACGTATTTGCCTTGTCGCAGTATAATGTGATCATGAACACTGCGCCACCTGAACCTACTCCGATAAATCAGAGGATACTCTAACCCACCATTCAGAACCAGTGTTGGAGTCAAGACCCTCCGAGACTTAGACCAGTACTAGACTGCCTAAAACCCAAAACAATGCCAGGCCTTCCAAGACTGAGATCAATGTCAGGCCTCCCCAAGACCCAGTTAAACCTAGATCTCCTAATACCAGGACCCCCTAAGATCTAGACCAGGGGTTCTCGATTCTGGCCCTCGAGGTCCAGTTTCCTGCAGAGTTTAGCTCCAACTTTGATCGAACTCACCTGCCTGTAACTTTCTAGTAATTGTGAAGACCTTGATTAGCTTGTTCGGGTGTGTTTGATTAGGGTTGGAGCGAATCCCTGATTGAGACCCAGAGCCAGACTAGACCTTTCGAGAACCAGATCTAGACCCTGAGCTGATGCTCCAAGAACCAGGCAGTCCATTTGAATGATTTGAAATGGAGAACCAAGAAAATAAGACCCTGAACTCTTGTGAGGTTGAGGTAATGTTACCTTTAGTACAAATGAGACCACAAGATGAGAGCCGCATCCATAAGACTGAGCATTGAGATCCAGACTAAGCCATGTTTATGTGGTTTTGAGAGCTCTCAAGTGCACAAGATCAAGAATCATTATCTCTGTATGGGTGGATAAAAATGTTTGCAACAAATCATATTTGGAGGATATTCTTAATACAGCCAGATTTGAGATAAAATAAAGACACATATTTACTAACATGGGTGTTTTTGTAACCGTGTTGTTCATCAAGGTCATGTTTGGGGCAAGCAACTGCTACACTTAAGAATTTAGGAAGAGGACAAGGTGGTGCAGTCAAATATTTTGCAAGAAAACAAGATAACTTACAATCCATTATATTATGAAAATTATACATTACGTAGAGGCATAGTCAAGTATATCATTTTATTTGTAGCTCTCAATACAAAAACTTCTCAAATAATGTCCTGCCTATGTAGCCTCTGGTTGGATGTGATCTCCCACTGTTGATGGTTAAATGTACTTGAGTTTGCCTGTTCTCTGCGCAAATTGTTATCAGCTGTATGCTATCACCACCCCACCTGAAAGCTTAGAAATTGAAGTCTTTCTTCAATAGATCAGCTAAAGATCAGCTTTAGCAGTCACGAGTGACTCATTTAAGAAGCCTGTGCAATCAAAAGTGGAGTCTTGTGGTTTCTAGTCCGTGTCTGTTAGTTTTGAGATCATGTGTGTCTGCTAAAACCAACATATTTAAAGTCTTTCTTTTCTGGGAAAATAGACCAGAAACATAGAGGTTATGTGCTGCTCAGAGGCATTTACACATTCCTGTCCGATAAAAGACTTGCTCTTTCCTAATTCCACCTACCACTGATTAGCCATAGCAAATCGTGGTTTAGTGGTGTGTATGACAATTGCCTACTTCCTTCTCGGAAGACTGCAACGAACACCTCTTGAAGTCAGAATTCCGACTTGCGTACTTTTGCGGAAATCCACAACTGCAATTTTGCAGAGATGTGCAGCACCCAAGTACTACGTGGCTAATGATAAACACAAGTCAAAATTCCTCTATTACATGTCCTACGCCTGAATATTGATACTCCTATAATGTGGCGATTGAAAAACGGTACGTAAAATGAGTAGTATGTCTAACAGTAGACGAAACATACCCGGATGACCTACTGCTGAAGATTCTGAAGTGCACATCTCATGAGGTCACGGGAGAGGAGTTGTGAATGGCAGTGAAGTGCAGTGAAACCGATGCCGTAGGTCACATGAGAAAGCCAACACGGCGTCCTCTGCAGTCCGGCTGCTAGCAGGCTACTTTGTTGACAATTCTTTTTGTCATCCCCCTCCTCAAGATCCAATGTCCCAATGACTTCAAACGGAACGAAGATTTTAAACTAAAACGATTAATTATTTAAAGAGCAGTACAAACTTTTGATATGTCCTGCCTCTACAACAAAATGAAATGCTCCAACACAGGAATGTTGTGCTTCTCAAATCAAATTGTGAGGTCTTTAAGCTCTTGCTTATTTGAAGCTTTCAAAGACTTCCAAAATGGCCACACTTGTAGATGGGGCTGGGACAATAAATCGATGCATCGCGAATCAAGAAATGATTGTGCAGACCCTCCGAGACTTAGACCAGTACTAGACTGCCTAAAACCCAAAACAATGCCAGGCCTTCCAAGACTGAGATCAATGTCAGGCCTCCCCAAGACCCAGTTAAACCTAGATCTCCTAATACCAGGACCCCCTAAGATCTAGACCAGGGGTTCTCGATTCTGGCCCTCGAGGTCCAGTTTCCTGCAGAGTTTAGCTCCAACTTTGATCGAACTCACCTGCCTGTAACTTTCTAGTAATTGTGAAGACCTTGATTAGCTTGTTCGGGTGTGTTTGATTAGGGTTGGAGCGAATCCCTGATTGAGACCCAGAGCCAGACTAGACCTTTCGAGAACCAGATCTAGACCCTGAGCTGATGCTCCAAGAACCAGGCAGTCCATTTGAATGATTTGAAATGGAGAACCAAGAAAATAAGACCCTGAACTCTTGTGAGGTTGAGGTAATGTTACCTTTAGTACAAATGAGACCACAAGATGAGAGCCGCATCCATAAGACTGAGCATTGAGATCCAGACTAAGCCATGTTTATGTGGTTTTGAGAGCTCTCAAGTGCACAAGATCAAGAATCATTATCTCTGTATGGGTGGATAAAAATGTTTGCAACAAATCATATTTGGAGGATATTCTTAATACAGCCAGATTTGAGATAAAATAAAGACACATATTTACTAACATGGGTGTTTTTGTAACCGTGTTGTTCATCAAGGTCATGTTTGGGGCAAGCAACTGCTACACTTAAGAATTTAGGAAGAGGACAAGGTGGTGCAGTCAAATATTTTGCAAGAAAACAAGATAACTTACAATCCATTATATTATGAAAATTATACATTACGTAGAGGCATAGTCAAGTATATCATTTTATTTGTAGCTCTCAATACAAAAACTTCTCAAATAATGTCCTGCCTATGTAGCCTCTGGTTGGATGTGATCTCCCACTGTTGATGGTTAAATGTACTTGAGTTTGCCTGTTCTCTGCGCAAATTGTTATCAGCTGTATGCTATCACCACCCCACCTGAAAGCTTAGAAATTGAAGTCTTTCTTCAATAGATCAGCTAAAGATCAGCTTTAGCAGTCACGAGTGACTCATTTAAGAAGCCTGTGCAATCAAAAGTGGAGTCTTGTGGTTTCTAGTCCGTGTCTGTTAGTTTTGAGATCATGTGTGTCTGCTAAAACCAACATATTTAAAGTCTTTCTTTTCTGGGAAAATAGACCAGAAACATAGAGGTTATGTGCTGCTCAGAGGCATTTACACATTCCTGTCCGATAAAAGACTTGCTCTTTCCTAATTCCACCTACCACTGATTAGCCATAGCAAATCGTGGTTTAGTGGTGTGTATGACAATTGCCTACTTCCTTCTCGGAAGACTGCAACGAACACCTCTTGAAGTCAGAATTCCGACTTGCGTACTTTTGCGGAAATCCACAACTGCAATTTTGCAGAGATGTGCAGCACCCAAGTACTACGTGGCTAATGATAAACACAAGTCAAAATTCCTCTATTACATGTCCTACGCCTGAATATTGATACTCCTATAATGTGGCGATTGAAAAACGGTACGTAAAATGAGTAGTATGTCTAACAGTAGACGAAACATACCCGGATGACCTACTGCTGAAGATTCTGAAGTGCACATCTCATGAGGTCACGGGAGAGGAGTTGTGAATGGCAGTGAAGTGCAGTGAAACCGATGCCGTAGGTCACATGAGAAAGCCAACACGGCGTCCTCTGCAGTCCGGCTGCTAGCAGGCTACTTTGTTGACAATTCTTTTTGTCATCCCCCTCCTCAAGATCCAATGTCCCAATGACTTCAAACGGAACGAAGATTTTAAACTAAAACGATTAATTATTTAAAGAGCAGTACAAACTTTTGATATGTCCTGCCTCTACAAAAATGCTCAATGCTCCAACACAGGAATGTTGTGCTTCTCAAATCAAATTGTGAGGTCTTTAAGCTCTTTGAAGCTTTCATGGAGGCATCGCGAATTGAGAAATGATTGTGCATCGATTCTGAGATTTTCCGAAGGCATCGTGATTCTCTCTTGAATCGATTCTGAGCTTAGTTTTTAACAGCATATGGCGCTGCGTGCTTTAGAAATAGCCGTATTCTGCTTGCTTCCAGTTCCTTACACACGCACCATTTAAACCTAAAATAATCATTCATAAAGTTCGAAAAGGTTGAAGCGAATTACAAGGATGTTCACAGTGGGCTGTGTTTACATTAATCTCGCATCATAAAAGCAGAAAAGCCGATGTGCAAGTACATTTACCGACTTACATTACTACTTGCACAAGTGCTCTTCTTCGTGAGCATTTGAGTGTGAGGTTAAAAACTAGCCTAGAGCGCCATCTGCTGTTAAAAACTAAGCTCAGAATCGATTCGAGAGAGAATCACGATGCATTCCGAAAATCTCAGAATCGATCCACGAAACTCAATGCATCGATTTATTGTCCCAGCCCTACATGTAGACAAGAAAAACATCTCCCAACCACACAGTTGTGTCAAACTGCTGCTGAAGATTTCCAGCTTAGCACCTTGATCTCACTATCTATTTTCTCTCATTTGCTACTTCAGCGTACAATGACTCTCTGCAGGAGGCGAACGAGCCCTGTCCCGATGGTATGTACTTTGAGCAAGACAATGTTGAGGAGAAGAAGGCTTGCCAGTTCAAGAGAAGTGAGCTACGACAGTGCTCTGGACTGGCTGATAGCAATTTTGGTTATTCCGAGGGTCAGCCATGCATCCTAGTCAAGATGAACCGAGTGAGTCACTGTTTTTACGCTCTTCCCAGTCAAAGCTAGCTGTTAGCTTATGTTCTTCAGACAAATTGAGCCACGGTGCTTATGCAAGGATGCAAAACTTTCAATCCGGCATGCATTGTGCTCCAGTTGCATCTTAGAAATGTAACTTGTTTTTAAATTTAGAAGGGTGTTTGTTCATTGCATATACTCCTTTGCAGGTGATTGGGCTTAGGCCACGAGGAGACCCACATATCAACTGCATAGTCAAGGTAATTCCCAAATCACACTTTGTGTTACTAGCTTCAGAGTGTTCGATGTCAGGATGAGTGTGACATGATGGAGCGAGTCTGAATTAATGTGCATGAGTCTTTCCATCTTGCGTTTTCACACATCTGTTTGTATCTGGTCTCTCTCCACGCTGCCTATAGGGCCAGCAGTTTTAATGGTGGGTAAGATGTTGGGCCCCAGCCCCCTCGTTGTTTCTCCAGGGTCCTTGCCCCGGGCCTTTTCCATCTCTTTGCTGCTTCTCTCCTGTACTGCTTTGTCTCTGGTGCTTTTAACTGCCCTCATTCTAGAAATGATGTATACCTTCAGATCCCCGGTCACTGAGAACGTAATGCAAATTGTGGAATGCTCTAAACTATGGATGTGCATCACTGCGTGTTCATTATTAAGCATATTGAAGAAGCTTCCAGTCTTGGCAAATATTTTCTTTTAACGCTGACCTAGTGGTCAGATTTATAAAAACCTTTGATGTGATGGAATGGTGGCATGTTGGGTAGTCTTGCATAGCCATACTTCAGACAAGGAGTGTCCAGTCCTGCTACTGGAGGGCCACTTTCCTGCAGAGGTTTAGCTCCAGCACACCTGCGTGGACGTTTCTAGTGATCGTAAAGACCTTGGTTAGCAGGTTCAGGTGGGTTTATTAGGGCTAGGACTCAACTTGCTGGAAGATGGCCCTCCATACTCTTAAGAATAATGATTCCAAGAGGCGGTTTTTGCAGTGATGCCATAAAAGAACCATTTTTGGGTTCCTCATTGAACCTTTCCGTGAACCATTTATTCTTAGTGTGAAGAACATTTTAATGATCTAAAGAACAGATGGAATAGGGGCTTTTGCACCGGAGGAACATTTTCATAGTTCCTACATCTAATGGAGGAAGTTCCCACTTTTTGGCATTTTTGCACCATAGGAACTGGGAAAGTCTTTTGGAGGGACTAAATTAGCTCCTACTTCAGAGTAGCGTCTAACCCAGCGATATAGGAGCTACCATTAATGTAGCTGAACACATGCCATACGAAACACCAACATCCATGTAAAAAGCTGTGTAAACCTACACCGTTCACTCCACAATGGAAAACCGTGATAGATTGACAAAGTTAATGTCATTTACCTGTCGCCTTTGTCTGCGGCATTGTTTTCTTCTCAGCCATACTATGAATTTGTGCTCTGCGTTTCACCCATCCCAATGCACACACACAGCAGCTGACCCTTGAAGGTATACAGCGGACACAAAGAAGTGCCCTCTGCTCCTTAGGATCTCTGTGTCCTCTGAACATTAATGCTTTTGCTCTTAAATTATGCTGATGGTTCCTGCTCTTCAATCTTGCCGTTTCTTACTAAATGAACTTCCACTAATAGAGACCTTGCAATGTTTCAATGGGACTTTCACACATGAAACGATTACATTTCCGTATTAACTTTTCCAGTGATATTACCACATCTGTTGTTCACATAAGCAACAATGTTTGGTGTTTTATACATCTTGATAACACTTCTACAGCATCATCAAAACGTCATTAAAGCATGTTGTTTGCAAAAAAAAGTTTTGCCAGATATCGTTAAACGTACAGTGAATGTACAATAGGCCTCGTTCAAGACGGAAACAAACTATTCAAACATGAATCCTTGTCATTTCTGTGACAATTGTTCGTTAAACCATTTTTGTGTCAAATATTCATAAAATCATTCTTGCTCAGTAATGCATTGAACACGAGCAAATTTGTGGAATTGTGTAATTTGTGCGCAAATTTCTTGTTTGTAAAACCATGCTTGTGTACATTTTTGAAATTGAATTGGAAAAAGAGTAATTTGTGTAAATTGTTCTTAAAACCATTCTTGTGTAAAATTCTCACATTAAATTGAACACAAGATTTGAATTTGGCTGTAAAACACCAAGTTAAATTGAGTGCAGCAGTTTACGTAAGAATGGATTAATTAACATTTTACACAAATTAGTCGTGCTTGTGTTTCATGAATGAGGCCCAAAGTCTGCACAATGTTTGTGTATGTCAACTAAATCAAGATGATTAATTACCTCACACACGAGTAAATGACAACTTGTAATGGTGTCAGCTCTTTCAGAATGTTAGTAATTTTACTTATACAAAACCTGAATTATTATAATCAGTAGTATTCTTGGAGCATCTTAACTTTATACATGTTAAAACCATTAATGCTATGTATACATGCCATGCTAGGTAGTCACAGATTACATGTAATCTGGATTACATAATCAGATTCCAAAAATGTAAGTACTTGTAATTAAATTATATTACATAAAAAAAAAAAACCTTGTAATCAGACTACAGTTACTTTTTTTATTGATTACATGATTACATATTATTCACACAATAGCAATAAATTATTCATCATTTGATTACCCCCAATTATTCTTTTTCCATCTTTAAAATTTCCCATGCTTTTGTCTTTTAAAGGGGTCCTATTATGCTTTTTCACTTTTTCAACTTTAGTTAGTCTGTAATGTTGCTGTTTGAGCTTAAAAAAAGATCTGCAAAGTTACAAAACCCAATTCAAAAGCAAATATTTTATTTAACAGAAATCTCTTTTCAAAAACTACAACGAATGACTCGTTTGGACTACAACGCATATTTTCCGGGATTTGTGATATCACAAATGCCGACGAATGGGACGAGACCTGGTTGAGCTGCACTAGAGAAGGCGACGAGTGTTATCACTGTTATCTAGCTTTCCCAAGGCAGATGAACTTAGATTGGTTACAATCATCCGGGTTTAAATCGCGCTCAAATTGATTTGATTTTGACGCAATATTTACACTGAAGCTCGCAGGTGGCTATGATAAGGGGCATGACATTTCCCGACCAGGCACCGAGTGCTGCCAATCACAACACACACTGGCCCAGCTAACCAATCACAGCACATTTCGTATTTCAGAAGGCGGGCCTTCATTTGATACAGGAACTATTCGAGCCGTTCATGCCAGACTGGGGAGAGAGGTGTTGTAATAATGTAAAATATGTGAAAAATACAACCTAGTATGAGAGCATGTTCTAGTACACCCCCAAAACAAAATCAAGACTTTGTAAAAGAGCATAATAGGACCCCTTTAAACACATTCAAATTCACAAATTCAAATGATTTCTTATTTAGCCTACATGTAATGCAGGAACTTTTTTTGTCAGCCGAACCGCTTTCACCTAATATATTTACTTGAAGAACCCCCTGAGATTGTAAATCACACATTTGCATGTTCACGGTTCTCTGATGTTTGTTAATGGTCACATGGCATGGAGGTAAACAAATAAAATATTTCATAATTTTAAGTATGTGTTTTATTTTCATTGTTGTTATTTTAAACTTATGTATTTTCATTTCACATTTTTATGATTTAATTGGTTGCTTTTCATTAAACTCATGAACCCCCTGCAGTTTCTTCACAAACCCCAGTTTAAGAAACTTTGATGTTTATTGCACTTCATGTTAATAACAACAAATAGAACATTTTCTTTCTCTTTGCGTTTTTATTTCAATATGGTACAAGATTATCCTTTTTAAATCAATGTGATAAGTTTTGTCAAAAGTAATCTAAAAGTACTCTAACTATATTACCTAAAATGTGTAATGTAATAGATGACGTTAGCAGCTACAGTTTTTGACATGTAATCTGGAATCCGTAACAGACTACAATTTGCATGTAATCTACCCAGCACTAGCATCAAAAATGCAAAACTGCTGGATGCATGCTGTAAATTTACAGCAAAGGCTGTTCGTGTGAAAGCAACTAATGAAACACTGCACTTTTTTTGGAGCTTCTGTGCAGATTCTTAATAATTACATTCTTTGAATTTGATTATTAAATCATGAATCATGGTCTAAGACTACTGATGCTTTAAAATGACTGTTTAAAACAGCATCTTTTAGTGTTTTTATTATCTTCTTTTTCATTGGACTACACTGTCTGCAAGCATGCATCACTTTGACCTATTCCTAGATACTCAACCATTTCAGAAGCTTACGGCTTACAGCAGATCATCTCATTCGGTTCACTTAATGAAAGATGAACCAGTTATTGAATGCACAGGAGTCTTGGAACTGTTCCTGAGCTTGTTGCTTCCTGCTACTGCTGGATATACGGTATGACTGTGATGGATTCATGCGTTCATATACAGTACATGATGCAAAATCCTGCCAGAAATGTCATTTATAAGAACCTGTTTTCCCCCCTTTCAGTGTGGATTTGTGTATAACCTGCTTTATTCAGATATGTGCTGTCTGTGCATTTGAATGGGGTGCTTATTTTTCTTTGTGTCATCAGTTTGAGTGATGTGAGGACAGTCTGTTGCTACTGGCAACTGCACACGCGTCACATGACACGTGTTGTTCGTAAAGTGCAGCCGTGTGACCTCATCCTTTGTCGTGTTTCTCTCCTGATACAGAGAGAAACTCCCCTGCAGATGCAGTATTTCCCCACTGAGGGCAAACTCGACAAGAGTTACTTCCCCTATTATGGCAAGACATTGCATGTGAGTACAATACAGCTAAATCACTGTTTAATTGTAGGGATGCACAATATACCATTGTCAATAAATCATATAAAATTGTGTGGTGTGTATTAGTTTTAGAATATAGATATATGTATATTTTTATGTATAGAAAATATACAAAGTTCATGTAATTTATACAAATTTTACTAATAAATCTATATAATATATATACAATTATTATATATTAATAAAATGCATAGAAAATATGGGCTATAAAATCATTTAAAGTTATTTTAATGATTTGCATTGGTCTGATTTGTGTCGTTAACGGTAGAAGATAAAATCAGGGCTTGTTTTTAAGTATTAAGCAGAAGTATTTTTGCTGTTTCTGCCGTCTTTGTCTCTTCCCTCCATTAGGCAAACTACGTCCAGCCGGTTGTAGCCGTGAAGCTGCTGCTGGCCGAGGACGACTATAACTCTGAGCTCACCATCGAGTGCAAGGTGGAGGGTTCGGACCTGCTCAACAGCGACGACCGCGACAAGTTCCTGGGCCGCGTCATTTTCCGTGTCAAAGTGTCCAAGTAGCCTAGATCATTCCCCGGAGACGCACGATGTCAGTTCCTCTCACGCAAACCCTTCTCATGTTCATCACGCCCATATCACACACCTTGTCCCCTATGTGACGTCCTACCAGTTCAGTCAGGGCCTTTACGTGTCAAGCGCAGTACAAATGCTCTTTTAGGTTGAAGTTCAAAACTCGTCCTGGATTAAAATGTAGTTGGATGCACACAGACCTTCACTGGCCCTGCGTTACGGACAGGTTGATTCACCCATTTATCATAAAACAAGCCAATGGAAATAAAATGTCAAGGTAAAGAGAAGACGCATACTTTCTCCTCCGATGCCTCCTCATACGAGAGAAGCTCTTGTCATCGTGTAGTCAGTATAGGGACCTGTAAATAGATGCATCAACACATCATGTGGATGTGGTCTGCTCCCCTCATAGTACTGTTTAGCCTGCCATGTGTGTGCGTGTGATGTGAAGCCTCTGTGTACATATTTAATGGATTTTAAACACTCTTTTTCTCTGTCATTGCTCTCACATCGTCTGACTGCTGTAAGAAATCAAGAGTATGAAATTATATAATAGCTGTAATTTAAGATTATTGAGAAATGAAAAAAATAAAAAAATAAAGAGGAGGGTTGGGAGGGGGAACCGCCAAAAAACACCTAAATCAAACCTGGTTTGAAACCCGTCCACCATCTGAGGGAAAGGATTTTTTAAACCTCTGCAGAAACTGTTCTTTGTGCAGATGCCTTACGATCTGTATGAGTTCAAAAATCTTGAAATAAAAGTGATTTTAAACGAAGATTCGTTTGGAGTGTGTGGAGTGCTTTCTTCATAGATCATCTGAATACATGTGGAAGTTATTAAACTTCATAGCAGCACTTAATTTAAAATAATCCTTATTTAAAATGCATAGAATTACATTGTGAATATCACAGTCATTTTGTGAAATTTTTATTGCAATGTGAAAAAAAAAAACTTTCCAATTTGAATATATTGTAAAATGTAATTTATTCCAGTGATAAAGCTGTATTTTCAGCATCATTGCTCCAGTCTTCAGTGTCACAAGATCTTCAGAAATCATTCTAATATGTTTGATATGGTCGTAAAGACGTTCTGCGTCTAAATAAACGCAATTCTTTTCAAGAAAAAAGAGACAGAAGCAGTAGTTGTGAGTGGGGAGGGGTATATATATATATGTATATATACACACACACACACACACACACAGTGGAGACCAAAATTAGAGAACAATCTCTAAATACTTGATTTTTTTGGAAATATTGTTAATCTTCATCGGCTCAAAATTTGAAGGAATAATTCTAATATGCTGATTTGCTGCTCAAGAAATATTTCTGATTATTATCAATGTTGGAAAGATTTCTCCACTTAATACTTTTGTAGAAACTATGATTAATGATTATGATTAACTGTGAAAAATTTCCAGATTCTTTGATGAATAGAGCAGCAACTATTTGAAAAGATAAATAAATTATATATATATATATATATATATATATATAACACACACACACACACACACAGTGGAGACCAAAATTAGAGAACAATCTCTAAATACTTGATTTTTTTGGAAATATTGTTAATCTTCATCGGCTCAAAATTTGAAGGAATATTAGCTGTAGGTATACCACTGTTACACTAAAACGTAAAAAAAAAAAGCATTTCAACAAAAGCCTTTATTTTGTGAAAAACAGTGATCAAAATTAGAGAAAAGTAATCACTGTAGCACGAAAGATTACAACTAAAATTTTGGAGGCTTACAGCTGTCAGAAATGAGTAGGGAGTGTAGATGACTTCAGCTCAGGACATCACTAGTCTCTCACACTGCGCTGCTGTGATCTTGCTCCTCTCTTCTTCGGTAACTGTAGTGGGTTTCTTAGCCATAACTTTGTAGCCAAGGATTTTCCAGAGAATTTCAATCAGGTTTAGATGAGGACTCTGGGCCGGCCATTTCATTATTTCAGTGTTCTTGGCTTCAAGGCACTGCCTTACCTGTTTTGTAGTGTTACGGGAACATTGTCTTGCATGAAAATTGTAGGCTGATTGGGAGATGCTTGCAGGGAAGGAATCGCATGTTGCTGAAGGAGGTTCTGATAAACATTTGCATTCACCTGCCATGTGGTGCAGAAAACATCCCCCAAAGCATGATACTTCCTCCTCCACCTTCCACTGACTTCTTTACGCATTTGGGCTTCAGTCTTTCCTCAGTTTGACGCTGAAGATAATGTTTCACATCTGACCCAATTAAACTTGCTCTCATCACTAAAGTGAACTTTGGACCAGCTCTCCTCTCTCCACACAACATGCTCCTCAGCAAAGGTGAGCTTAGCCTTTTGATTCTTTCTGCTGATGAGAGGCTTGGTCACTGCAGAGTGCGCTTTCAGTCCGACTTCTCTTAAACGTGAGACAGATCCTTACCCTGTTCAGTGCTGAACTGGCAAGCAATTCCAGCTGCAGTGCTGAACCGATTCACCTTTGAGAGTCTCCACATTATCCTGTCTTCTCGTGCTTTTGTCTTACGTGGATGACCAGCCTTTTTGGGGGGACTTGAATGAATTATTGTCATTGTAAGCCTGCAATATTCTAGAAATCATAGATTTGGAATGACAAACTTCTCCTGCAGTGGCTGAAAGGGTGTCCCTTTGGCCTTCATCTAGACAACCTCCTGTTGCAGGGTTTCAGTCACCTTAGAGCTGCCCACAATCTTGCAATCTCAGTGAAAATTGGAGGAATGCTGCCAGTTAAATAGGGTTTGTCATATAATTAAGGAAATTAGCAGACCCCCAAATGTGTGCGGTGGGTTTAGTGGGGGGTAATTGAGAATGAATGGAGGAAAGTCACGTGAGAGGAGGCAATGCCTCCATCGAGATATGATTGGATATGACTGGTTATGTTTGGCTGTGATTGGTTCATGGATAAATCCTGCCTCTCGTGTTCATGCGTGTTCTGCATTCACGAATCAGTCTGAATGAACAATATGACTTAATGGGAAGACTAATTTAAAAAAGTAAGTAAACAGCTCACTTAGATATAACCATCTTGTTACGTTAAAATAAGTCTTAAAAATGGCTTGAAAACATGATCTGTGGGAGTTTTTAGTGAGTAATAATCATCTTGGTAAATTTAAAGTAAATCTCTGTGTCTGTGACCAATATTTACCAAGCTTTGATAACTGATGATCCGAAAAATTCAAAAATAGTTAAAAGTTAACATAAGTTCACAAATAAAATAGAATAAGAACTGATGATTTGGAATCAGCTTTTGCAATCCGCAAGGCTTCCGTGACTGACAGTAGCGCAGTCTCAGTTGAATGGCCACTCCTGAAACCTGACTGGTTAGCATCCAGTTTGTTGTTCTGTGAAAGAAACAATGATATCTGGTTGAAAACAACTCTTTCGAGGGTTTTCGCTATGAATGGAAGGAGAGAGACAGGTCTGTAT